CACATTTCAGTGCACCCCTGTGCACTTTCAGGGCCTGTAACTGGGATATCTGGCACTCTGCATGGCTTCATTAGATGTTCTACAGCTATTGTACAAAACAAAGCAGATTTGGAGGGGCTCAGGTGGGAGGCCCTGACTGATTTCCATGAAATGAGTCATATTTCTTTTTGATTTTTAAAATAATACCCGTTTCACAGGATAAACTGTCCACTCAGCTGGGATACTTCACTCAGTTGGCTTTCTTTGAAGTGCTGTCTGTTCCACAGTGAGTGCGTTAGCAGTAATAGATGTCTGTAGGCAACTTCCCCCCAAGCAGACAGAAAATTGAGCGATTTAGAAAGTGAAGCCATGTGCTGCTATGAACAGCAGCAAAACAGATTTTAGCCACCTGAGAAATACTGGTTTAAGTGTCTGCTAGAGTCAGAACATTTTCAACACTTTGCCATCAGACAGCAAGAAGGCAAAGCCATGCGCTCCACTTGCACACGCCACACCTTCAGCTTTTCATTTACTGTCCGCTTGATTGGTTAGTTCATTTATGATGCTGCTCCTTAACGAGTTATTCGCAGAAATCAACAAACTTGGTCGATTGCTGCAACTTGTTCTACTTCAAAAAAAGTGTGGTTCTAATACTGGATCCTGGTTCCAAGCCATGTTGCGTCACAGAGCAGAGAAGAAGAGCTCTGAAGCTTTGACCTTTCTGTTTGTGGAAAGGAGAAAAATTAGCTTAAGTCGTTTTGTATCTACTTGTTTCCTTTCTGTCACTGGCTCCTTTCTCTTTTGGCGTGCAAGATTAAACAACAAATTAAATGCAAAATATATGATTAAGTACACTGACTTAAACAAAATCTTTGTTTGAGGCTGTTTAAACAGCTTGCAAGATAAACTGAGGTCATCACAAATATTTGAAGTATTTAAATGGTGTCATCATTAAATTAGATTAGGTGATTATATTAAATCCCGGTGATCCTCGTGGGGAAAATGAGCTGCGGCAGCAGAGGAGTGCTGAGTTAAAAAATGAGAACAGATCAGATGGAGAATACTGAAGAAAATTACAACAAAGGAGCAACAAATGGGAAGGATGCAACTGATGAATAAAGATAAATTACAGTTCTGGGGGAAGACCGAGGCAGAAAACAGAAAACTACTTTTCTCATTTCTCTGAAATACCCAGAACATGCTTCATTTTCATGACTTTCAAACAACTGTTGGAATTATTTACAGAGCACATGACATCTACCACAGAGGCCAATGAAAGATTAATGCTGAGTAGCCACTGCAGTGATGTCGTGTATGTGAGCTTTTCTTATTTTACAAAAGGGAGAAGGACGGGAACAACTTTACACCCCTTGGTTACAATCCTGCTGGAGAATACTTCAGTCAATATTAATATAACCAAAGTATAAATATATTGTATACACTTCTGTAAAGCATCTTGGTTGCCTAGTTGTGCAGTTGCTATTTTTCAACTAATTCTTCACATTAATGTAGTGCTTCCATCACCTGATCCTTTTTGCTTTTAGCCAGAAACTCACTCTGGACGATACAAATTGGTGTAAGCAGAATTCACAGCAGATGGTGTTGTAACCACAAACTGTACATAAAAGATGGATGTAGCAGCCGTGTTCTCACTCAGTCGTTTCTGAACTTTTTTGTTTTTATATTCAGTTAATGTGTTTTTAGCTACAGTTTTCAGTTTGTAGGTTTTCCTTTCAGTTTATATTCATTTTTAATCCGTGTCTCTGTGTTTGATAAGATACAGGAACCAAAGCAAGTGGGTTGGGTTAGGCACAGAAACTGCTTTGCTCAGGTTCACATGTGCATATTGTGGTTTGGGGTTAAATACACGTATTAGAAACATGGTATGGATCTGTTCTGGCTGGACTCCAAATGTAAGTAATTATCGTGAATTTCTGTGTATGTAGATGTCAACGCTTGCAGCTGATAGTAACAGATCTCACATTTATCACTGACTGATAGCATGTGATTGCAAACTGATAGCAGAGTTACTGCTAATTGCTGTATGGCTGTCAGTTGCCTTATGTTAAGCAGAGCTTCTATACTACTTACTATCAACTTACTACATTATGTTTTCTATATTGCCTTTTCTTAACTTTTCTTAACTATTCATTAACTATTAGACACAGCCAGTTAAAATAACATTGGCTCGTTTTTCATTGAACTTATTGTCTTTTAACTGAGACACCAATGTTTCATATCCAGTTATCAGATAACTCCAACTTCAGCTCCAAGGCAAATGTAAAACAAACCAACCACCAACAGGCATTACCTCCAAAAATAATGAAACTTTAAAGGATGCAGATAAATTAAACAACATCTGAGTATTTCTCCTTCTCCCACGTCGCACAGCAGTTTCCACTAGATGTTCATATTAAACTCTCTCTCTCTGAGACCACTTTCTAAAATTCCCCTATCTTTCAAGAAATTATTCAGGCTCCTAAAACACTAATGGTTGCATAACAGGATGTCAAGACTCCACTCTCCCTCTCTCCAGACCCTGAGGCCAGTGAGCACAAAACCTGCCTTGGGTCTTCTTCCCCATCTCTGTCTTTGGGGCTCACTTGTGCAGAACAATAGCAGAGCAGCTAGTTAAGGTGAGGGAGAGCAAAAAAAATAAAAAATCCTCCAACACTCCTTTGTCCTCCGTCTGTTCCCATCTCAGAGGGATTTTCTTGAACATTTTTTTTCAACACTCTCTTTCCCTGTGGTTATTTCCCTTAGTGAAAATGGGTCACCTTTCTTTTTGTCAGGAGGATGCTTGGGTAAGTATAACCTCTGTATCTGTGTGTTTGAAGGTGTGTGTGTGTGTGTGTGTGTATTCGAGGTTTTTTATGATCGAGGAATGGTTCCAAGCCCTGGAAAAGTCATGCAAGGACCATTTTCTGGGTCTCATTAGGGGGGAAGGTGTATTCCTTTGCAGGTATATTTTTCAGTTAGCCTGCTGATATCCAGTCTTTTATTTTTTTTGTTCCATTTGCTGGTTATTGTTTATCAAACAGGTTAATTCAGGTAAATTCTAAAAATAATAATAAAACTAAATTAATAAAGAAATAATGAAGTCAATTATCAGATTAACCGATTCATTTAGACAAACCCCTAAAGTGTCCCCCACACTGCTAGCAACCAAAGTCTGTTTGACAACTGACTACAAGTGATCAAACCACCTGATTATAAGTAGTCTGTAAACAAATGCTATTACAGTTACTTATAATTATAAGTAACTTACAGTTACTTATAATTGCATCTTTTCAGCTGGTTTGGTTATGAATAATGATATTAATGTAGCATTAGCTTGCAAAGTCACCTAGCAAAACAGCTAGCTTGGTTTAGCTTTAAGTAAATGCTAATGTGCCAGTTCCTCTCCATTTCCTCTAACTAACACTTGAGGTAGTCTCCAAAGCGTTCAATTTTCATATTAAAATGTCCAGTTTCAGCCAACAATATAATATGTTTGTAGTTGTTTTTGTTTTTTTAATATTAAAGTGCTAAACCTAAAATAAACTATTGTTAAGTTAAAGTAAGTGAACTGGACCTCTTCACCATACTTGTGGTGTTTGACAAGAGATATCTGGCAATGAATATCGCCTGCAGCATGTTACAGCTCATCCAATAATTTTGTGGCCCTATTTTTTTTTTCTTCTAGTATTTATTGGTCTGTTACTAATTAGCAGGCATCCATCTGTGCATTGCACCCATACTGTCTGTGGACATGGCTCACTTACCAAGTTTGCTTGTGGTTGTGGACAAGTTCTCATCCACATATTGTCACTCCTGACACCAAGACAACATGCTAATGTTGACGCTTCAAAATGAGTCCAGCGATCAATAGATAGTATCAATGAGGCTACATTCAACTTTTCTATACATGCAAACATGAGGTAACAAACCTATTAAATAACTTTACGTAATATTATGTAATTTCTAGGCCAGGATGACTGTAAAGTAAGAAGTGTCTTATGCTCAGTGCAGCTCGTGGTTGACAAAGTGAGAAGCTGCTAGAATTAAGGACAAACTGCTGTTCACGTACTGTATGTGTGGCAGCACAGGGGGATGATTTATGTATGTACGCTCTTTCCAGGCTTGTTTTTGCATTGTTGCTCCTGACAGAAACCCTTTACCTCCCCTCCTCATTTCTGGCAGTATGTGCGCAGGCAGCGTTGGATGGACTTTGAAGTGAGCGCACCGATGCACTTCAAACAAGATCTCACACACTTTGCCATTTTGCCAAGAGGACGAAAAAAACAGCTGGAAAAAAAAGAAAAGCTTTTCTCTGCATCCTGATAGAGTGCACTCTGATCACCTGTTATTCTAAATCTGCGGCTCTGCTGCTTCTATCTTCACATCAATACGAACCTCAGCGCGAGCGCCGTTTGTGCTTTTTCAAAAAACGGTGGCGTACAAGTGCTGCTGTGACCGAGAGCAGGAAACTGTTTAATGTACAGATCTTTACAAGCGCTGCACAGATTCAGACGTCTCCACCTCTGCCTCACTGACTGTGAGCAAAGCTGGTTATTTAGAAAAGTTGCGTGTATGGAGGGAGATTCATGTTTCACTGAGGTAATACACTGCCATCAGTCCACTATAATGGTAACTGGCACATAGATCAGCAGAACAGTGTTAATTATGCCTTAAAGAGTAGTCAACACATTCACACCTGGCAATCTGCAGACGCTAGAGAAAATATGTATTCCCCAACTAGTTGGCAAGTGGTTGCTGGAAGACCAATTTTACCCGGTGACTGCCAGCAACCACTCGCAAACTGGTAATGGAGATTTTTCCCTAAAGTTGTCTCCAACCACTCTGTACTCCTGTGTGACTGAGGCCTAAGCTGTCACTAGTCACTCAGTAATTTAAGAAAAGCGATTGAGTGCAATTACAGATGACCTTGATAAGCCTGTAAACTTTGGGGAAATATCTGCATTAGCTCTATCGGAGCAAACAAACATGAAATAACCGTAAAGTGTGTTCGCTATCCATACCGAAGTGTAGAGGTAGCCCTCGCTGTTCATGGCAACGTAGAGCCCTGTCTTGGTGCTCTGGATGGCCACTATCCTGAGCCCCACAGGAATCAAGTTGAACTGCACTGCAAGACACAGAGAGGGAGGAGTGATGTTAGAGCAATCATTCTGTCTCTTAAACGCTCACAGTGCTTTCTCATAGCATAAAAAGACAATCACTTTCCAGCTGTCTCCTGCACTCAAAAAAATGAAATTGGGTGGTTGTTAAATTTACAAAATTCAAACTTGTAATGTGAACAAAATCATTTCATGTTTCTGTGGTGAACGTAATTAAATCATGTAGGATCTGCATGAAATCCAGCAACTTAATTTATTCTTGTTGAGATGACTTGATACAATCTAGTAAGAGTGGTTAGTTGCCTGGATTCACAAAATTCACAAGATCACACAAGAATTCAAACCACAGGAAGATCACTGAGGTTAGAAGAGACAGACAACCATACATACACTACATATATGCCTCAGCTATTTATTGTGGTTTTTAAAATTCTATATAAAGCCTTGTAATCATAGTTTCCCTATTTTTTTGAAGTCTAGATTGACAGCTCGGTGGAACAGTGGTTAGCACTGTTGCCTTGCAGCAAGAAGGTCTTGGGTTCAAATCTGCAATCTGGCCAAGTTTGCAGTGGGTTCTCTCTGGGTACTCTGGTTTCCTGCCGCAGTAATTAGGGTTAAGTTAATTGGGTTTTCTAAAATATCTGTGAACATGAGAGCAAATGGTTGTCTGTCTCTCTGTGATAGACTGGTGACCCGTCCAGTATTCTGACTCCCACCCTATCACATCTGGGATAGGTCCCAGCCTCACTGCAACCCTGGTAAAGATAAGAGGATGGATGGAGTGCAAGTTATGATAAATCCATCAACATTTTATGTTAACCAGACTCTAGACTTTGTTGAACACTCCAAAAGAATAACTCTTTAAATGAACTTAAAATAAATGGATTAATAAATGGATTTCTATTACGAATAAGCATGTTTTGTTGCACTAACGTAATTTGCATGAGTTGGATCAAATCAATTAAAATAAGTTGGACACAACTGTAATAAAACAGTTCATTCATCATTAATTAATCAAGTTAGTCCAACTCAAGTACACTAAGTTGGAATAACAGAAGTGCATAATGCTAAAATAAAGCAATTTAATTACGTGGAAATTCTTTCCATGATTTTTTTATGTTCATTCAAAGAGTTATTTTTTTGAGTGTGTTTCACACTCCCTGTTGTACAGTTTATCTGTCAGGTGAGAAAAGCAAGTTTGTGAAAAAGACAAAGAGAGAGGGCGGAAAGGATTTGGAGACAGAGATTTAGGGGAAATTTTGTGTTTACCTTTCTTGGAGTGAGAGTAAGAGTGCGATACGTTTAATGCTTGATATCGAGATACATTTGAGTGCCTCGTGTAGGACAGAGACCTGGCAAATTCCTTTGCTTTCTTTTATCTGTTCTTGAATACACCAGGTGTACATCAGAAAAACAGAACATTGCACTACATGCCATAGGAATACTTTAATTTGCAATACACAAATCTATTATTGAACGTGGCAGTTACAATGAAGTAAATTCAGAAAAGGAAAACATGCAGCTGTGAATTGTTTTTTTAATGAATGAGATTTCTGACAGTCATAATGATATTTTCACAGAGAACGTGTGCGTGAACCCTGAACATTTTATTAGAAAAATCAGCATTAGCTCGTTTTAATCAAAGCTCTGTAATCTTGCATCCCAAGGTGTGCCACACATTTTAAAGGCTGTATATAGCTTGAATGTGAGATGTGAAAATGAGAGGAATGCAATCCCCCGAAAACTCATTAAGGGGATAAAGAATTTTCCATAGTTTGACATTTATACCCTTTTAGTGAAGAGGTTAAGTGTGGTGGTGGTCGCGGGGCAGGCCTTTGGATTCTCCCTAAAATCTAGATTCATGCCACAGCGAGATGGAGAGAGAGAAGGTAGCTCAGCAGAGAGTTTTAAGAATAGTGTGCATTAGAAAGTGAATTCATTTTCTGCATCCCGACACACTAAACAGCACTTTGTAATGCAGTTTGCTGAATGTCCTCCTGTGAAACCTTGGATCTCCTACGTGCATAGCTCTGCATATGAGCTAACTTCAGCCTGGACACCAGAAAACAGTCACTGTTTTCTTCTCATTTTGGTTCCTGTAGATGCACAAGCTTTTCTGTGTATGAATACAGATCGTATCTGAGTGTCTAAAAAAGTTTCTTATATGATGTGGCATGGTAAGCTGAACGGTACTGACAAAGCAGCCTGTGGCTGCCAGCTGCTCTGTGGTCACAGTGTCATGATGACCAAATGCTACTGAGATTAAAGCCCCTGAAGCACATGGATTGAGCCAGGAATGAGCCAAAAAAAAATACACATGAGTTTTGAAAGATCAAAAAACAATATAACTATGAAAAACACTTAAGCTCGTAAAATCTACCAGATAAGTGGTGACCCATCTAGGATAGGAGAACGTTACACCCAAATGCTTCTGTAGATAAACTATATGAGACTTCATTCAAAATGTAGCAACTTCTACTTTCTAATATGTCTGATTTATCAGGTTTCTAAAATAACTAACTCTGGATAGGTCAGTAGTGACCTGATGGCATTCATATATATATATATATATATATATATATATATATATATATAACCATAAGTTACCAAATGCTCACCAAATGGTAAAAGCCTATATACTGAATTTTTACATTCAGCTTTGCATCTTTTTTCTGTTCTTTTCTATGCGGGTCAACAATGAGACAATTTTCAACCCAACACCTTCAAGGGTGGTATGGCTTACAAAGAGCTGTCTCTCTTCCTTGACAGTCTGAAGTCATGTCACAGTAATGTGTTTTGTTTGAGTGTGGATAGAAATGTCAACAATGTCTTTCGGTTATTGAAATTCAACAATATTTTTTAGTCAACAATGTCAGATACGACTACTCTGCTTCATTTCTGAGTTTTGCTAGAAAAAGAAATTACGCTACAGTAAAAATGACATTTTAATAGAACAGCTAGTAATATTACCATCACCCACCGACAGGAAACCAAAGGTTGTGTTGGTATAATCTACCAAAAGGATACAGGTTGTATACATATTAACATCTCCTGTCTGCATCAATTACTGCTCACTCAGTTAAAGCCCATTTGGCCGTAAGAGTGTTTAGGCTGGTATTACTGTCTGGAAGCAACAACTTCTGAAGGCTCCCTTTGAAACCTGTCAGAAATTATGCTAATTGTGAACTCTCTGTGTGTGTCTGTTTATGTGAGTGTCCTTGTGTCTTCTTTCCTTTTTCTGTTTCCATGTTCTCCTCCTTATGTTAAATTCCATGCCTTCCCTGCCTGTCATGTTTATCCCGTGTTTCCGTCATATCATGCCTCTCCACTCGCTCTCTCGTGCTGTCGCGAATCATTGCTCTCTCGCTGTCTCTCTATGTGTTGTCTCCGTTAACTGTTCCTGCGTCCCCTTCGTTATCTCCTCACGTTGCCTCCTTAATCCATCTAGCTTCCCTGACTGTTCTTTCCTCTCAGCAAAAAATGCCATGTTGTGAGTTAGTCTACGTCTTAGTGTTTCCTGTTTTATTCTGACAGTCTTGCGTTCCATGTTCGGTGTGTTTAGTTTTGCTTCTGCTGTCTTGTTGTGTCTAATTTGCCTCAGCTGTGTTTCCCATGTGTTTCCTGTTCCCTCGTCATTCCTCTTGTATTTAAGTCCCCTGTTTCCATCTGTCCAGTGTCGCATTCTCCCTCATTCCCTGCTGTTGTTCTGCCTGCTTGCCTGTCTGTTTAGTTCATGTGTATCCCAGTTTTTGTTTGTTCTTCTGGAGTCCAGCAATAAAGCTGAATTTTGAGTCAAGTTCTGCCTGCTGCACACAACAAACACAACCTCAGACTTTGTATAAAGATTGGAGAAATAGTACAGAACATTTTAATAACTGGGTTTTAGAGACTGGACTCATGCACCTACCAGCGTTTTGTGTCTCACTTTTCTAGTTGTTACGCTAAGGAGAGGTGCTCATATTTTGTGTTTTAGAGTATCAGCTTCTACTTGCTGTTGTCTTGTGAAGAATTCCACCATCACATATAGTTACCAGCAACTACTCGTTTCTTTACACAATGTCTGTTACTATCAAGTTGATTTTGACTTTGGCAAAATTCCCATACTGCCATTAGTCCTAAAGGCCAAAGCAGACAACACTGCTAAGCTTTTCGTTTAAACTCTGGTCAAGAATATAAAAACCAAAGCATAATTGGGATGCAGTGTGTGTGAGTGATTTCGTCTCCTTTTGGCAAATTGCAAGAGTGCATTATAAAGTCAGAGCCCAGTTGTCAAAGTGACAGACTTCTTACACGGATGAAAAATGAAGTCTAAGGAGCATGTTTTAGATTCATGAAGCCATTAGCCACTAATAGACAAATCAATTTCAAATCAAAAGTTCTGCCAACATAATGGATGGAAGTTAAGTTATCAGATGGTGTCAGAAAGTCAATGCTGGCCGTGATTAAAAACTAACAACTTGTCAGTATTATTTCTGATGAAGATTAAGCTCTGACCTCTTAAGAGTTAAGATTTTCTTTCTAGTAAGGCAACTTGGAAAACAAAACACATTCCTTCTTTTTCGAGCAGCATTTATGCTGTTTAACTTTTTGTTGAGGAAAACTTAAAAACTTAGATTATATTCCAACTTTCCACAGAACAGTCACTGTAACGTTTTACCACCTGCACTGAATATAAAGACAGCCCACCCTACTCTTTCTCTCTCTCTCTCTCTTTCCTTTCTCCATCTTCAGCACGTTGCTTCTATTTGCTCAATCGATTCCTGCATTTCAAAGAGTTGGTTTCGCAAATGAACAAGGTGTCACCAATGAGCAAGGCTGGGATGACAAATAGAGCTGGGCACATGCACACACATTGCCTCCCACCTTCTTGTCACCCTCCTACTCCTGCTTCTCACTTCCTAACATTGCTAGGTGCACTGTTGTGGCGATAACTGCATGTTATCTATACACACAGGAAGAAAACAACCACAGCACATGCAGGTGGAATACACTGTCCAAGATAATAAAG